GTCAGTCCCTTGTTCAGCGTGTAATGTCTGCAGTTTGTCTGTCATAGCTCTGATCTGGATTATAATAGAGATTAATATTAATCCGGATGATTATTATTAATAATAATCTAATCCTTCCAATTTTTGCCGTGCCTTAATCTATTACTGGATTATAATAATCTATTGCTGGATTATAATAATCTATTATTGGATTATAATAATCTATAACCGGATTATAATAACCATATTATAATCTATTATTATTATAATCCACGGATTAATATTAATCCGAGTTGTCCTGTAGTTTGAACTGAGGCTTGAGTCTTGCTAGTTGAAGTTGTTACATGCGCTTGTAGACGCACTTTTAAAAGTTTTCCAAGCCACAGCGAAAATCACTCCATTCAACTCAGATGTAAGTACTATTGCAGTCACACTTGGCTTTTCTTTTATCAAGAACGACTCTCAGCACGCATGTCTCTAGATGAGTTGCCAGGTTTTTAGATTAGCAATTACTATAAGGTGGCTTCTCAGAGATCTCAACGATCCCGCGCCACTTTGCACGATGCATTTTTCGATCTCATCGCAAATTGCTTTTCTTCGAATGTTGGGTACATTTGGTCTGTACATGAATTCGTCAGGACGTCAGGTTTCAAAATTTCCGTGGACGATTGTTCATCCGCTATTATCTCTTCTCGTACTGTACTACCCTCTCTACTAAAGAACGCCCTTACCACTGTTTTTAGGTTAAAGGTCTCTGAGTAGAGAGTTCGCTTTAACTCTCGCGTTTTTGAAGTGATAAGATTCATGGTTTCGTTTTCTGTAATTACTACTTGTCTTGGTTTGTATTCGTCTTTTCCGTTTTCTCTACTTTTTAAAGCTAAAGGTTTTTTTTGCCTCTCAGATTGTTCCATTTCATCCTAGATTGAATGATAAATAGAACAGGATCTCTCATTCCATGCACGTTTAATGAAATCGTGGTTCGGATCCTTTTGCATCTTTCCCCCGTAAATCCTGAAGAGACATATTCCTTAGGCCGATTTGAAAGTTTTTTCATTGTAGACGGTTCCTCTCTCATTGTTTTCACTCGACTAAATTTGCCGTGTAAGCGATAGATTGAAATGATTCTACCCACCTCGTACAGCACTTAAATGCGATGCTGAATCTATTTGTTGCCACCATTGAGTAATTAAAAATAGCGTCAATTAGTATAGGTAATAGCATGATTAGTAGTGATATTTGGCATAAATACCAC